ACTTACTTGAGCCTGTGACTTTCTGATCACAGGCTCATTGTCTAACCTCTGCACCACCATGCCCCATTTAGTTTGTGCAGTAACTCTTGAGTGAGCCATTAAGTCTTTTTGTTTTTTCTCACAAGCTTTGACATTTTATATGTTTAACAAAATTCTCACTTGTTACTTTTTGTTTAGTTGTATTTTAACATCAAAGAAAATTGTCATGATACTGTAGATCACTTTAAAATGTTCGTGCTCATGTCCATGCTGCTGTTGTTCGGCGTATTGTTTTTGTACTATTAGTGCTTAGTGTATTTTTAGTTTAGTGTATGTCTTAGTTCATATCTTAGATCTTATTACTGTTTTTTATTTACAATTTATACTGTTGTTGGATGTAATTGGGACCCTGTGTACACAATTTCATTCCACCACATGTACCACATGTGGTGTGTATGGCAAATAAAGAAACCTTAACCCTTAAACCATAACATTAAAAAAGGAACTCAGATAATAACAAATGCACAAGTATGTGATTTGTGTCATTAACGCCTCAGCTTTTTTATCAGAAATATTTCCAACTCATCAGTACATCTCTTATATTTTTAAGACATGGTCCTTTCTGCACATGGATGGCATGCAGCGGCTTGTCTGCAGGAACAAATCCAACTGTGCAGAGACAAGCTGAGTTTAAATGTCTGCTTTCAAACTCGCATTTTAAGATATTTTTCAGGTTCACCCTCCCCACCGGGATGTTATAGTGAAGTCCTCTGCATGGCAGCAAACACATGCTGACCGGGATGAAAAGAGGGGGCTACATTTTGAGCAAGGATGTGCATCTGACTGATTTCACCTCTGTTGTGTGTAGCTTCAACAATGTCCAGTGGACCCTGCATCTGCCAGATTCAAAAGAAGTACATGACATTTCTGCATTCTGGAAGTCTGATTTCTAGGTTTGGCTTTAATTTTGGCTGCTCTTTCATTCATTTTCTGTCCAGTAGTACCTCAACGTGACAGGATATTGTGCACTTGGAGATTAAAAAAAAAAAAGATGACTAGTGGAGAAGTAAAGAACAAAGAATGCCAGGTCAAGAAAAAAATAAAACTTTCTTGAGCAGTATTCGAAAAGTATGTCTTTAAACAATACAAAAAAAAAAAAATCTATCAAAGATCAGAAGCAGGACCAGGTAGCTTCATCATCCCAGAGATGATCATCTGTTAAACACATTTCGAGTCCAGGTTGCATCAGGAATTGCATCCAGCATAAAACAATTTGCCAAATCTTTCATGTGAGTTTGCTCTCTGTGGTGACCTCTGAAGAAGGGAGCAGCCGAAAGAAACTTACTTACATAGGTTGTGCTTTTGTACCGACTCAAAGATCAAGACAAACTCGAAAGAAATGAAAGCAGCATTCTTTGAAGGAATGTACTGTTATGCATGACAAAATAAACAAAGGTTTTAGATGATCTCAAAGTAGTGGTGATCTGTTAGCACTTGAAGTTTATGTTTCGGAGCAGTCTCAGCTGGGGCCGAAACACGTGACTACATATAATCAGTAATGAAGTATAACTCAAGAGTTTTGCACTTTAATGGAAATAAAACGGAACTGCTTTTAGCTAAATGACACATTCACGTTACTAATATTTTAGAAAATCAGAGTCAAACAGTAGTTTTTCTGTTGAACAGCTCAAGCACTCGATGTTACTTCTATAATTATACAGAATGTGTGTCAACATGCAACACTCAGTACAAAAGGTTTATTATACAGAAGATACACTCGGCTTCTCTTTCAAGGTGAAAATAATAATAATCTGTATCGTACTGTATATGTGTTTTTGCTATGTTTGGTTTATATATTAAAGATAAATGATATTATGAACTGGGCAGCACGGTGGCACAACTGGTAGAGCTGCTGCCTCTCAGCGAGCAGGTCCCTGGTTCAAACCCCGGTCCAGGGGCCTTTCTGGGTGGAGTTTGCATGTTCTCTCCATGCATGCGTGGGTTTTCTCTGGGTACTCCGGTTTCCTCCCACAGACCAAAAACCTGCATGTTAGGCTGATTGGTAACTCTAAATTGTCCCTAGGTGTGAATGAGAGAGTGAATGGTTGTTTGTCTCTATGTGTCCCTGTGATGGACTTGCGACCCGTCCAGGGTGTACCCCGCCCCTCGCACAGTGATTGCTGGACATGGGCACCAGCGACCCCCGTGACCCAAAATGGAATAAGCGGGTAAAGAAAATGGATGGATGGATGGATATATATACAGGTCCTTCTCAAAAAATTAGCATATTGTGATAAAGGTCATTATTTTCCATAATGTAATGATAAAAATGAAACTTTCATATATTTCAGATTCATTGCACACCAACTGAAATATTTCAGGTCTTTAATTGTTTTAATACTGATGATTATGGCATACAGCTCATGAAAACCCAAAATGCCTGTCCCAAAAAATTAGCATATCATGAAAAGGTTCTCTAAACAAGCTATTAACTTAACCATCTGAATCAACGACGTAACTCTAAACACCTGCAAAAGATTCCTGAGGCTTTTAAAAACTCCCAGCCTTGTTCATTACTCAAAACCGCAATCATGGGTAAGACTGCCGACCTGACTGCTGTCCAGAAGGCCATCATTGACACCCTCAAGCAAGAGGGTAAGACACAGAAAGAAATTGCTGAACGAATAGGCTGTTCCCAGAGTGCTGTATCAAGGCACCTCAGTGGGAAGTCTGTGGGAAGGGAAAAGTGTGGCAGAAAACGCTGCACAATGAGAAGAGGTGACCGGACCCTGAGGAGGATTGTGGAGAAGGGCCGATTCCAGACCTTGGGGGACCTGCGGAAGCAGTGGACTGAGTCTGGAGTAGAAACATCTAGAGCCACCGTGCACAGGCGTGTGCAGGAAATGGGCTACAGGTGCCGCATTCCCCAGGTCAAGCCACTTTTGAATAAGAGACTGCGTCAGAAGCATCTCGCCTGGGACTGCTGCTGAGTGGTCCAAAGTTATGTTCTCTGATTACAGTAAATTTTGCATTTCCTTAGGAAATCAAGGTCCCAGAGTCTGGAGGAAGAGAGGAGACACAGAATTCACATTGCTTGAGGTCCAGTGTCAAGTTTCCACAGTCACTGGGGTGCCATGTCATCTGCTGGTGTTGGTCCACTGTGTTTTATCAAGGGCAGGGTCAATGCAGCTAGCTATCAGGAGATTTTGGAGCACTTCATGCTTCCATCTGCTGAAAAGCTTTATGGAGATGAAGATTTCATTTTTCAGCATGACCTGGCACCTGCTCACAGTGCCAAAACCACTGGTAAATGATTTACTGACGATGGTATTACTGTGCTCAATTGGCCTGCCAACTCTCCTGACCTGAACCCCATAGAGAACCTGTGGGATATTGTGAAGAGAAAGTTGAGAGACGCAAGACCCAACACTCTGGATGAGCTTAAGGCCGCTATCGAAGCATCCTGGTCCTCCATAACACCTCAGCAGTGCCAGAGGCTGATTGCCTCCATGCCACGCCGCATTGAAGCAGTCATTCATGCAAAAGGATTCCTGACCAAGTATTGAGTGCATAACTGAACATGATTATTTGAAAGTTGGCGTTTTTTGTATTAAAAACACTTGTCTTTCATTGGTGGAATGAAATATGCTAATTTTTTGGGACAGGCATTTTGGGTTTTCATGAGCTGTATGCTATAATCATCAGTATTAAAACAATTAAAGACCTGAAATATTTCAGTTGGTGTGCAATGAATCTGAAATATATGAAAGTTTCATTTTTATCATTACATTATGGAAAATAATGACTTTTATCACAATATGCTAATTTTTTGAGAAGGACCTGTATATATATATATATATATATATATATATATATATATATATATATATACTGTATATAATATGTGTGTGTGTATATATATGTATATATCGTGTGCATTTTAGCTTATATTACTACCTTGAAATACGTATTCATTCAAATTCATCCTGCTGCACCATTATATTCTACCATGTTGTTGTTCAGTATCTCTCTTTAGGACATTATAAATATTATAATTACTTTTTCACTTTTTGGTACTTTTTTTGTGTACCCTTATTGCATGCTTTTAGTATTTCTTGTTGGTTTGTTCTTTTATTTTTTTTTTAGCAAGTCATATTGTTTCTTCTCATCCTAAGCATTTCATTGTATTGTTAACCCTGTGTTAACCTGCATATGACAAATAAACACCACTTGAACTTGACTTGACCTGAGGGAGAATATAATTATACTATGCCCTACAGCAGATTTGGGTGTAGAATATAAAGCCCATTTGTCTTCTGATATTAGAGATCGTTCAGACTGACAGCTAAATATTACTGGTAATTATTTATTGAAGTGGGTAAAATGGATGGATGGATGGATCTATAGCTTTGCACGCTTGTTATGAGCTAAATATTTACAAAAAAGCAAAAACCTTCCCACAGTGCTGCTCATCTTCTCTGTGCTGGTCCTTCTCTTTCAAGTCAAACCATCACCTGTGACTTAAACCAGGCACGGCACAGAGAGGATTTTAAAGTTACTTCCTCTGAATTGCACACGAACCGTACTGTTATTTTGTTTGCTTGAAAGGAAAACTAGACCTCCAACGCAATTGTGACAGTTTATTCACACTTTGATGTTCCTTGTTAAGTGAACTAGTCACAAGACAATATTATTTTCATTATTAAACACTGTTATATCCTGCAGGACTGTCAGCTACTAAATGTGTAAGGAAAAAGTTGGCCATCCAACGTGTGAACAAGTAGAACTGCCAATAATATTGATTAAGCAAAAAAAAAGTGAAGTGTAAAGCTTGCAACATATTCAAACTGATAATAGTGTTCTGTGCTTAAAACTGTTTATATCCTGCTCAGTGTAGCCTGCAAGCTCTGAATTATTTTGTTTATTGCAACAGAAAAGTGCAGCACCCAAGATATTGGGCCTAAACCTGTTTGTGTTGCCTAAATAATATTTACCGTTCATATGTTTTGTTTTTTCCGCAGTTTCATCCTGGTGTTTGGATGTTTGGTTCTGTCTGTGTTTTCTACCATTCCCGCTTACCAGGATGTCTCCTCGTACTGCCTGCTCATCCTGGTAGGTCACAAAGGAACACCCATGCAAATATACAAACATTCCCAGATAAATACTCCATGTCTAATCAACACGTGGCAGAGCACACCTGGTTCAGTTTAATTGATACGAGTGTTACAAATAGAAGGTTCAACTGTTAATTTATTGATCTGTGAATGAAACACTGCTCTCCCCAGACTAACGTGTCGCAGGCTGTATTTAATGTTCCAACTTGAATCTGAAACACTACGACAGAGCTTTAGGGCCACTCTAAGAAAAAAAAAAAAGCCATTAAATTACAAGAATAAAGTTGAATAAAGTCTTAATATTATGAGAATAAAGTCATACAATACTTTTTTTTACAGCTCTTGTTTATTTTTATTTTTTTTCCACGAGTCGGATCCACGACGCGACGTGTCAGTCAATCCAGTGGATGTGTCAGCAAATGACCAATCCGAAGCTCAATGCTCCTTACCTGCAGACAGCTGCTGCAGCTCATCAGAGCGTACCACCTTACTGCAAGCAGGTTCAAAGTCCTGATACTGATAATAATCTGATGCTAATGTGCTAACAGATGAACTATCTCCTTATTTGTAAAACCAATATCAAAGTATAACTTAACAAGATGCTCAACATTCTTCATTTTACCACAGTTAAAATGCGCTAAACCCTGCTTTACGACTCATTTAGCTTCGGACTGGTCATTTGTTGACACGCCTACTGGATTGATTGACAGGTCGCATTGTGGATCTGACTTGTGGGAAAAATAAATAAACAAACGAGAGCTGCACAAAAAAAAAGTCTTGTACGACTTTATTCAACTTTATTCTCGCAATTTTATGGCTTTTAATTTTTTTTTCTTAGCATGGCCCTAAAGCTACGTCGTAGAAACACATTTGTGTAATGTAAGGTTAAACTGTTTTTCATGTTTTGTTTGTTTGTTTGTTTTTAAGAGTTCAGCGTTTCGTTTAGAGTTCTTGCAGGAATTATATACTGAATTATATGTTCAGGTCTGTAGTTGGAGTAAGACGTGCTATTAAAAGTACAGTTTTTTTTGTTTTTTTTTACAAGGACAAGCTGTTTAAGTGTTTGTGTGTTGTGTTGCTTGTGGCAACGAATGAGACACTTAAACTCCCAAACTTATTACTGTACCCTTGCGCCAGACGCCAGTTCAGAACAGTGTTGTCTTGTATCTCCTGTATCTTGCTCTCCTTTATTCACCAACAAAGCCACTTCTGTCTCATGTTGTCACAGCAGCTCCCTCAAACAACAAGAAGCAGTAACAGCAACAGAACAAACATCAAGGCATTTACTGTGTAACCCTAAGAACACAACACCCCTATTACACAAATAAACATCACGATCATCTCTAAGTAACAGTAGCATTTTCTCATAAAAAATAAATAAAAATAGAATTACCATAATGCAAAATAGTGTGCACAATTAATCTTTAACTATTCAGCTAGCACAAGTACTATTAACGGCAAATAGAGTAGTCGTCATAAAACTCAAAAGACTAAACTACGACTGAGTTTAAAAACATACAAGACTCTTTCATTTCTCTCGCTTATTTTGCAACCGTTTTATTAAATCAACTTATTTCATCATGGTCATTTTTTCCAGGTTGGTATGTGTCTTAACCTTTGCAGAGCAATTTGTTTTGATGTCCACTTTGGTCTGAGGGGTTTCTTTGCTGTATCAGTTCTTGGTGTTTCATTTGAACAAAGTTAACGTCGTCCTGCGCTCCTTTTTTTTTCATGGCACTTAAGACAAATGAACCTAAACCAGTTTGTTGGCTTAATCAGAATGTTAAAGCTAAATTTAAGTTAATCTGGCAAAAATGTGTGGTACCAGTTAGTTTTGTAAACAAGTCCTCCATATCAGGCAGAGTGACAGTCCGTATTATTTTCATGAGGTTCACAGAGATCAATGCTAAGCTTTAAGTTTTCTTTGTATTTTTGTGCTGCCAATAGGTGATGGCTTACCCACTGCAAGTTGTTTACTTGAACCTCGTGGATGAATGCTTTACCACATCCAAGAGAGTAGGCTGAAGCAGAATCAACATTATTTACCATTCATTTTTATGACTAATAATGACAGGTTAATCATGTTTGCATATGTGACTAGTTTAAATTTAACTTCAGTCAGTGGGCATCAAGAAAAATGTTGCTTTTAGTCAATTTCTGGTAAAGTAGATCCAGAAGCTTGCATCTACAATGACCAATAACTGCAGGACCTGGAAGTTCCAATTGTGTTGCTTCAATGTTCATTTTGCATTTGATTTGATCAAATACTGCAGTCATAAGCCTAACACCATTAACACAAGTGCTGACTAAAACAACTTCTCTCACTGCATCCATGAGTGATTTGCGTACTTTGACAAGATGACCGTTTTTCCTGCAGTTATCATGTTTTACTTTGTTAGCAGGCCAGTTTTTACCATTAGCCGGGTGTTTGTCTGATCCACAACTGAAGCAGGGACGTTTGCTCTTCCCTTTTTAAAATGACCATGGAGTGGAGCTCAACGTGTTTGAGCTTCGCCCTTCTTTTCTGTCGACATTGAGCATCATCAGCAGGTGGGACTTTGCTCACAGCTGAGAGCAGTGTTGCATTTTTAAACGTTGCCTCCACTTGACATGGACTAGTTAGAGATTTGAGCAGTATAAGGTCGTCCTCCAGCAGTAACTTATCCTTCACAACACTGCAATAAGCATTAGCAATGAGCTAATCACTCATAAGTTCATTTTCCATAACTCCAACACAAAACTAACTTTTTTCTATATTCTGTATATATTAAGCTGCTTAAAATCAGTTTAAATTGTGCTAGGATGTGCTTCAAGTAAACAAAGTAAAAGTGACTTGCATAGATAACGCTTCACTCTATCGAATGGTTTTCTAATTATCTCTCAGGTTGAAGGCAATGTGTTCAACACATTGATACTTGTAGCTATTTAACTGTCAATAATGGAGTTCCACAAGACAGTTTTAGGACCCAGTCACTTTACAATTTATATAAATAATATAGTTCCGAACATTCCTGACACCTCCTTACATCTCTATGCCGATGATACAATTGTTTATTGTTAAGCTAAAACAGCTGCTAACGTTTTCCAGCTTCTACAGTCTGCATTTGACATCATTCAGTCAGATTTATTCAATCTCAAACTTGTGCTAAATGCTGATAAAACCAAAGGGATGCTGTTTTCAAACAGAAAGTTGGTGCCAGCTGTTCTTCCTTCTATCTGATCTATGATTTATTTTTTTTATTTTTTTTCATTTACCCTTTATTTATACAGGTAGTCTCATTGAGTCATGAGAACTCATTTTCAAGAGAGACCTGTTTTTTTTTGTTTGTTTTTTTGTTTTTTGTGGGAGCAAATGGTGGGGGTTAAAGGCCTTGCTCAGGGGCCCAGAGTGGGACAAATGAGGGTGGAGACACGTCCATGTGGGTGTTTCACCTTTTCCACCCACATTTTGATGTTGACAGTACCAGGAGTTGAAGCTGTGACTTTCCAATCACAGGTCCATCTTCTCTAACGTCTGCGCCACCACTCCTGAAATGGTGTTCCTATTGAGTTTGTAGATTCTTACAAATACTTGAGAATTTAGGTTGATGCACATCTCTCTTTTAAGCCGCACATTGAAAATTTGGCAAAGAAGCTGAAATTAAAACTGGGTTTCTTTTTCAGAAATAGATCTTGTCTATGTCTGAATGCCAGGAAATGCCTTGTAGCTGCTACTTTCATACCGGCTATTTATTATGGTGACATTATTTACTTGAATGCCCCTGCCACCACCTTGCAGATGCTGAACACTGTCTAACACGGTGCACTAAGATTCATAACTGGCTGTAACTATTGTACCCATCACTGCACTCCGTACTCTTTGGTCAGTTGGTCATCATTAACTTCACGCAGGCTCTCACTGGTACATCTTCATCTATAAATCACTCCTTGGTCTGCTGCCTTATATCTCCTCTCACATGCCACGTCGTTATTGCAATTATAGCGTGCGCCCTCAGGCCATTATTACCTGCAGTGTTCCCTCAGTGCGGACTGAACTTGACAAAAAGGCCTTTTCCTTCTCTGCGCCTGTTTCCTGGAATATCTTGCAAAAAGATTTGAAGTTCATATCTTTAAGGGATTTTAAGCAATTGATAAGGTCATTAGAAAAATCAAAGCAAATATGTTCTTGTTTTTAATAGTTTACCTTGTTTATAAAGCACCTTGGTTTTATTGTTTATTTTATTTTATTTTATTTGCATTTTATTGTTGTATTGTTTACTGTTGTCTGTACCTTATCTGTTGTCTGTCTAAAGCAGGTTCCTCTTGAAATTGAGTCCTCGTGACTCAGTGAAACTAACGTATAAAAATAAAGGTTAAATGAATTAATGAATAAACTCATGTTACCTGTTAGCCAAAATGCTAGCTGCCAGCTAAAATGTTAACTTTAAGTTAATTTTTTTATATAGCCTTTCATAATTCGGCCAAACACTGCAAATCTCAGTGGAAAAATGTTGCCATTTGCTTAGAAAATGTCAAAAGAAAACATCCATCCATCCATCCATTATTTTCCACTTGTTCCGAAGTCGGGTCGTGGGAGCAACAGTTTGAGCATGGAGGCCCAGACATCTCTTTCCAAAGCCACCTCTTCCAGCTCTTCTGGGAGGACCCCAAGGCGTTCCCAGGCCAACCGAGAGACATAGTCTCTCCAGCGTGTCCTGGGTCTTCCCAAAACAAGCTGAAAATTTTTATTGCAGATAAATTTTGAGGCAGGCCACATCTGGAGTGGAGGTGTTCTAAGTTAATCTAAAGCTTATTGCTTTGTGAAACTGAGCTGTCATTAATGACGATTAGTTCCACCTCTTTTGACAGGTCAAACTGTTTTCCAAGAAAAATTACCTTCTCAGCCCAGCGGTCAAGAAAAGCACTAGAATAAATAACAGTATAATTGGTTCTGATAAAGTACCAGTTTGATCAGAATGCATTATGGATCTGGCACACATAAATAAATACAGTTTTTAATGTGACTAATTCTTTTTTTCTGCTAGAATCCAGTAAAATATTTCGTGACTAGAAAATGCACAGATCGTTTTGTATTAAAGCACATAGACAATATTGAATGTTTTCCACATACTAATCCTTTATATTGCTTTGATTCTGTGCTGTGACTGTATTTATGATGTGTTTGTGTGTGCGTGCCTTGCAGGAGTTTGTGATGATTGTCATGTTTGGCCTTGAGTACATCATAAGGATATGGAGCGCTGGCTGCTGCTGTCGATATCGAGGTTGGCAGGGACGCCTCCGCTTTGCCAGGAAACCCTTCTGTGTCATAGGTAACCATCTTTAAAACTAATACCAAAGTGGATTAATCACTAAAAGTCATGTTTAGAATTATGCTAATTGTTTTTGTGTTCAAGCATGTTTGCAGCTTTAAACAAATTAGTTTTATTCTATTTGTATATGAGGGGTAATTTTTCTCAGGTATTAATATATCACCTTACACAAATATCAGATTTACAAATTGGTCAGTTTTGCATCGTTGTTGTCTATTTAAAGTGTATTTAATTTAGTCAAATTTCGGAGTCAGACAGAAAAAAGATAACCTGCAGTGATTTAATATAATTTTTTAATGAATGGATGAGTGAATGTAGAAAGTGGATGAGTTAACCACAGTTCCTGCTCCTTACATTGTGCTATACATGACCTTTCATTTTCACTGCTTTACTCCCCAGACATCATCGTGCTTATCGCCTCGGTTGCTGTGCTTTCAGCCGGTAGCCAGGGTAACGTCTTTGCCACTTCTGCGCTGCGCAGCCTTCGTTTCCTTCAGATCCTGCGAATGGTGCGCATGGACCGGAGGGGAGGAACCTGGAAGCTGCTGGGATCTGTAGTTTATGCACATAGTAAGGTAGGGCATGTAAACTGTGACTCTGTTGTATAAATACACTTATTTTACATTTAAGATATGTGGTGTGCCAATCAGTCACTTATGGTGCTGTGTTGTTTCTCTAATTTACCCCATATTAACCACCAATAGTTAAGAGTGTTTTATGATCCTTTACGTGTTAAATGTTTTGGAAGATGAAAGGTTTTGTGTGTTCAGTCCTTGCGAGCTTGTCAGTTATTTACTTTGTTTTAAAGAATAATAAATGAATAATAACTGAGAAACCTTTTTAATTTAATTTTTTTTCATTTGTTCTAATAAATATTGACAGGTTTTAATCTTGTCGATCACAGAGTACTAGAAAATAAACACATTTTTAAAATACATGTTTGAACATGTAGCAGCAAGGTAAGAATTACAATAATTATCTGAAGTGCTTTTTCTTTGTCAGGAAAAGGTCTCGTTCATTTACACAGAGAGGCTGGACTTAAAATTATGCAACCAACCATTAAGAGACGCTCGTCCTTTGTGACTTCAACTTCTAACCTCTGGACCTGCGTCTAGTTAAAGTACAGTAGTCCCTCGCTACTTTGCAGTTCGTTTTATTGCAGACTCGCTCTATTGTGGTTTTTCAAAGTAAGCTTGGACATGACACACAACTGGCTGATTGATGGATGAGCCGCACAATCAAAATGGAATTTTTACTACTTACTACTTGTACTACTATCCCTATTTCACAATTTTTCACTTATCAAGGGGCTTCAGGGTACGGATCCCCTGCGATAAACGAGGGACTGCTGTATATGTTGATGATTGATGATTGTTGATGATTTCAATACACACTGGTATTACAATGTGCTTACGTAAATTTAGCAACAAACTGTACATGATATGTCAAAAAATTTTAGAAATGCCAAATAAAGTGTTAAAATTAGTTTAGCCTTTTAGATGTTTTATTCTGTTTTTACTTTGAATCTTTTCTTTGTGTGTTACAATATATTGTGGCCCTGTGTCATGCTGGTATATGCCTATTTGTTTAAAAACTTGTATAATGTATTTAATACCTAAGGTTACATTTTTATGTGCTCTCAAATAAAATTAGATTATTTGGCATTTCCATTAAAACACATATTGATGGTGTTGGTAAAGTTTGAGATCACCTCTGCTTTTCAGATACTTCTGCTTCATGGAACAATACTTTTTTTTTCCACTCTAAAGGTAACAGATATATTTTACAGTGTAAGATTTATGCTGATTTGTGCTTGCAGGAGCTGGTGACTGCTTGGTATATTGGGTTCCTGGTGCTCATTTTCTCCTCTTTCTTGGTCTATCTGGTGGAGAAAGAATTCAACAAGGAGTTTGACACGTATGCTGATGCTCTGTGGTGGGGCACGGTGAGCACACGCACACACATACATCAGAGATACACACAGATACCAAAGATTTGATGTTTTTATATTCGTGCCTTTTGTGGATAAAACCACACTTTAGTAAATGCAAAGCTTTTTGGAGAGCTACTGAAAACATTTTGTCACCGATTCAACTTGGACAGCTTTGTGTTTTGACATCTTAAAGTTTCAGATTTAATAGACTCCCACGTAGTTGTGAATCGTACAATCTGTTTCTCAAACCTCACATTACCTCGTTTTTAATCAAACACTGTATCGAATTAAAAGTTGAACTGCATCTTTCTGACCAAAGTGATAAATTGCCATTTTCACTTCCAGCATGACCTTAATGACCCTGGCAACGCAAACCTTAACAAGAATAGTTTTTAAAGTCACACTTGGCTGGTTGCCCTGCACTGTTTCCTCCTATATCCTCCCTCGGAAGTGTGGAAACAGACACGACGCAAACGAGAAACGACCCAATCAATAAATCCAATTTTCTCCTGCTGCCAGGTGAAACTGGCCTGTGAAGCTTGTGGGACTGATACTCAGACTGCTCCCCTACTCAGACCTTGAAGCATCTTCCTGTCTCTTACAGACTAAAAGCTGTTATCTAAGACGTAAAGAGCTGAAGTTTAGCCACATAAAACTTTACCGATGCATGAGTCAACGCTAAGGCTGTCAAAAAGAAAACAGTGAACCATAAGCAAGGAAGAAGACTAAGGGGTTGCTTTACTTTCCTATCTGTAATGTGCACATACTGAATATGCTTGTCCTTCACATTTCTTCATCTTTTATGTAGAGGTAAAAAAGTATAGATTTAGAAACATCTATGAAATTACATAGGGTTTGGCATTTAAATTATTTCAGTGTTCTATTCATCCATTCAGTCTCTAAATGTTTGAGATGCTGTGGAGATGTGAGTTCGAAGTGTCAGTGAATCTAGCAGCAATGGTGAGAGCTGACTCATGGCTCATCCTCAAGCACACTGAGCTAGTTATTGTTGCTCTGTTGTTTCACTAATATGAAGCTGCTGTAACAACTTTATGAACATTTGTTTTTGGTGTTTTAATGAAGATCTGGGAGAGAGTTATGGAAGCTAGCCTTAGATGAGAGGGGACTATTTGTGAGCCGCAGTATGGTTTCATGTCAAGAAAGAGCGCCACAGATAACATATTTGCTTTGAGGATGCTGATGGAGAAGTACAGAAAGGGTCAAAAAGAACTTTGTTGCCTCTTTGTGGATTTATGAAAAGCACAACAGGGTGCTGAGGAAGGAGGTGTGGTATTGCATGAGGAAATATGGAGTGACAGAGAAGTATGTTAGACTGGTACAGGACATGTATGAGGACAGCAGGACAGTGGTGAGATGTGCTGTAGGAGTGACTGATAGCTTCAAAGTGGAGGTGGGATTGCATCAAGGATCGGCTCTGAGCCCCTTCTTGTTTGCTCTGGTGATGGACCGACTAACAGATGAGGTCAGGCAGGAATCCCCGTGGACTATGATGTTTGCAGATGACATTGTGATATGTGGTGAGAACAGGGAACAAGTGGAAGAGAACTTGGAGAGGTGGAAGTATGCACTTGAAAGAAGAGGAATGAAAGTCAGCCGTAGTAAGACAGAGTACATGTGTGTGAATGAGAGGGAGGATGGTGGAACAGTGAGGATACAAGGAGCAGAGGTCACAAAGGTGCAGGACTTCAAGTACTTGAGGTCCACTGTCCAGGAAAATGGAAAGTGTGGTAAAGAGGTGAAAAAGAGAGTCCAGGCAGGATGGAGTGAATGGAAAAAAGTTTCAGGATTGATTTGTGACAAAAGAGTGTCAGCAAAGGTCAAAGGAAAAGTTTATGACTGGTGAGACCAACTATATTATAACATTGAAAACAAAAGACAGGAGAAAGAACTGGAAGTAGCAGAAATGAAGATGTTGCAGTTCTCTTTAGATGTAACAAGGATGGATAAGATTAGGAATGAGATCATCAGAGGTACAGCACAGGTTGAATAACTGGGGGATAAAGTTAGAGAGGCCAGACTGAGACCGTTTGGACATGTCCAGAGGAGGGACAGTGGGTATATTGGTAGAAGGATTTTAGAAATGCAGCTGTCAGGAAAAAGACAAAGAGAATATACAGTATATGGATGCAGTTAGAGAGGACATGGATGTAGTGGACTAGGCCTATGTCAAAACTGACCAGATGGACAGAGACTGTTATTTCATTGATCTGCATCCAGAAATACAGTTTGAGCCATCTGGAGACTCTCTTTCTTGAATTAATCAAGTAGAAAAGACAAGTCTCTATAATCATTACTATTTTACAAATGTTTGATAATCAAATTGTGTTAGTTCACTCAATGTTTACAGGTTGAAGAGAACTACTCATTTTTATTTACATAAACAGTAAGTAATGATTTTTATTCCTCAGTCTAAGAAGAAATCAGGTTAATATGCATTTCTTGATTTTTCTGTCTTCAATGAGCAAGTTTTGTAAGTGTGTTAAGGTTCAAGTTTCGGTCAACTAAAAGTTTACTGAAAAAGAAATGTCAATGTCACATAAAAGGGTGCCTGATCTGTGGCCAGTTTCAACCATCAAGACCACTTCACAGAGCACCACTGCATAGTAGAGGCATTGCATTTCCATGGTCGGACCTCCAGATTGACTGGGTCGGACCACTCACTAAGACCTCTAGAGGAAATAAATATTTTCTCACGGTAACCTGCGCGTTTACCAAATGGGTAGAATGTCTACCAGCCCCTAATGACACAGCACAAACCACTGCTATGTTGTTAATGAATCATGTATTTTCAAGGTTTGGACTTCCCCTGAGGGTGAACTCAGACCAAGGTACACACTTCACAGGTGAAGTAATGAAGGAACTGTGGAAGACGCTAGGCGTCAAAGCCAACTTCCATATTGGCTACCACCCACAGGCTTCAGGCCAGGTTGAGAGAGCAAACAGGACTGTGGTGAGTATTTTGAAAAAATACGTAGCCGCAAACCACAAGGACTGGGACGTGAAACTCCCTCTGGTCCTCATGGCCATAAGGGCCACTCCACACACGTCAACTGGCATCTCTCCTTTCGAGATGATGACGGGTCGACAAATGACTCTCCCTCTGCACCTGTTGTACCAACCAGGCGATGCTGCCATGGCAACAGCCTACACCACACAACAATACATGAAAGACTTGGAAAGACACCTTAAGAACACTTTTGCTTTCGCACAGAAAAACCTGGAAAAATCAGCTGAAGGACGCAAAGCGTACTACGACCAAAAGGCCTCTTACGAGGAACTCCAAGTGGGAGACAGGGTCTGGTACTACACGTTTGCCCCCAAAACTGGGAGAAGAGAGTCCGGGACCGGAACTCTCGCCCGTAAGCTGATGCCTAGATGGACTGGACCCCATCTGATAACCGACAAAGTGTCTCCAGTTGTCTACCAGATAAAAATCAGTAAAGGCCAAAAAGAGCCAACTGTTAAATGGGTACATCGTAACCAGATTAAACAACACAAGGCGTGCAATAACTCCTCAGGAGACAAAGATCTCACAAAATCTGACCTCGTGGGAATAAGGGTCATCCAAGCAGAAGATAACTAATGGATAATAAACTTAACCATAGTTTAAACTCACAGGACCTACCCTTGATAAAACGGGACAGCGTGACTGAAACTGACAACCAGGGTGAGGAGAAGCAGTGAAACGATGTTTCTAGATGCTTAGTCACTACTCTTGTCGGTGTTGAAACGTTGTTTAGTTGATTTTGGTTGTTTCTGAGGTAAGAATGAATTTTGTTGTGTAGTAAGTTAGAGACTAAGAGGCCTTTGACCATGCCAACATGCAGTTCATTCGTTAAATTGCAATCTTTGCGGAGTCAATGTATATTATTGCTACCTTGAGTACCATAATCTACATTGATCTCACAACGCTTAAGCCGAACCTACTCGAACAATTCTATTCGGGGGGATAGCTAATTCTTTTTGATAAGTCTCGCCATAGACTTCCAAAACATTTATGGGGAAACCAAACACCCAATCTCAAGTCGTTCGTCTAAAAGACAACAGACAATTGCACCAAACTATATTTTACCATGTAAAGCTAACTTAAACCAAGTTAGAAATGGAAAAATAGTTTGGAACCCTTTTCTATAGGCATAAACCCCTGTAGTTACCCCTTTTCAGCATTTACCACCCCTTAACTGGTAGTTGTAGCTGTTCCCAACCATAATAGCTTACACACCAGGTGCATATAGTTTAAGGCCTTATGTAAAATCCCCTTCATAAGCCCACCTTAAACCACATAATTGCATGACACATTGAACCAGAACGGCACAGGCTGGACGTCGCTGGAGACAACCTTCGCTGGAGGCGACCTGCAATCCTGACGTTGGTCTCCACTCTTCATCCAGTGGCCGCATCTTCAGTTCAATCCAAGGGTACCCCTCTGTATGCTGATTAATCAACACTTCCAATCGTTGTGGATTTACCGTTGTGGATTATATGACTTTTTCAATGGATTACAGACTCTGTTTCCAAGGGGTTCAAGCATTGCTACAATGGAATTACCGACAACATTATGGAATTATCATCAACACAATGGAATTACCAAGAACATTGTGGAATTACCTTGACTTTGTTTTCCTTGCTGGATTACTTCTGACTTTGGTCTTCCTTGCTGGATTACTTTTGACTTTGGTCTTCCTTGCTGGATTACATCAAGCTCAAGGACATTTGAAGGCGTAAGTTCACGGTTGGAATTCATCCCCATGGACAGGCGATGATTTCCAAAGGGGGGACTGTAGTGGACTAGGCCTATGTCAAAACTGACCAGATGGACAGAGACTGTTATTTCATTGATCTGCATCCAGAAATACAGTTTGAGCCATCTGGAGACTCTCTTTCTTGAATTAATCAAGTAGAAAAGACAATCCTCTATAATCATTACTATTTTACAAATGTTTGATAATCAAATTGTGTTAGTTCACTCAATGTTTACAGGTTGAAGAGAACTACTCATTTTATTTACATAAACAGTAAGTAATGATTTTTATTCCTCATTCAAAGAAGAAATCAGGGTAATATGCATTTCTTGATTTTTCTGTCTTCAATGAGCAAATTTGTAAGTATGTTAAAGGTCGAGTTTCGGTCAACTAAAATGTTTACCGAGAAGAAATGTCATGTTTAACTTTCACAGAAGATACAGGAGAGTTTGACTCCACGAAGTCTGGTTTTCTCCAATAATCTTTCTGTCTGTTTTAAACAATCTCATTCTCTGCCCTTGACTTTGATAACACCTTACATCACAAACCACACCTCTGATCTGGTCCATCCACCAATCAGAAAGCTCTAAAATGACCCGGAAGTCAACCCATTTAAATGTGGCAACTTCCCGGTTCTCGCCAGAGTTAAAGAGTTATAGAGTTAAAGAGTTACAAAGAGTGACAGTTCTCCTGGAGAAGAGAGATGAAAAACTCTCTGATGCAGCTCAGGGAGAAGAGTTCCAGAGTTTAACTCTCTGAAGAGAGTTCTGAAGGAGTTCAGAATTCTGACAATCCAGGATGCAGAGAGGATTTTTGGGAATTATAACTTCTGTTTGGATAACCTCGCACGACTCCTAAGGGTTTGGCAGTCCTCACGGAGACGCTGAAAGAGTCAGAAAGGAACCCTACGCCGACGCTGATTTTATCATCAACCAGGTAAAGGTTCTACTTCGACCAAGCGTACCGTAGCCATGCTGATTCCCCAAAGAGCGTGTTGTTCTGGTCCTACAGATAAATTCCCTCACACATCTCTCTGTAAGATAAATCTCCATTTTCCATCTTAAACTCTCCTTTCTCCTAAAATCATTACAGATATTTTAGAAATATCTGAAGCAAAGTTCTCAATCACCGCCGTGTGATTGATGTCTGTTATTCTGCTGAGAAGTGAGGACAATCGCCGTATTGTCCACTTTCTGTGAACTTGCCATTGTTATTGTTTTCATATTTTGCCAAATTAATGTAAATGTTTGATGTTAAACTTTGATTCTGCAAATAAATGACCGCATTCATTTGATGGGTCAAAGATAAATAACGTCTCTCTCGTTACATTTCTGTTAAACTCAATGCACGACATTTACACAGTCAGAAAGATGAAGAACTCGTGAAAAATGTATGAATATATCCAGCATATGTCATACTACATGGAGGTAGTTGGAGTGGGGACAGAGGGCGCAGAGGACAGAGTGAGGTGGAGGAGGATGACTCACTGTGGTGACCCGTGAAGAGGGAAAAAGCTGAAAGGAGAAGAAGAAGATTTTGGTGTTTTAATAATCTGACAACTATAAGTCGAGCCATTTGTGGAAGAAAAATATTTCATACACTGTTTGGAAATGTGCATTAACTTATACATTTGTGGACAGCTCCATTTCCAGCAGGTTGTATTGTCAGAAAAAAAAAGTAGAATTAGAAAATAGAATAGAGTTTTGAGGAAACAAGAAATTGCTACAATATTGTGAATGTGAGGCTTATGTGTTATGCTCTTCAGTATCAGTTTTTGTTGTTGTTGTTGTTGATTTATTTGCTCTGATAATTTCAGTTTCTCACAATCCCTTTTAATGCATTCATATATTACTTTTAACGACTCTAAATTAACACATATGCACATACAAATGCAATAGTTTCTAACGTGGCACATTGTTTTCTTATAAACCTGAAAAAGTAAGGTCAGAACTGTTAAAACCTTTGGTCCTTGGTTTGTTTGACTTTTTTTTTTCTTCACACGTTGCAGCCAAAAGAAAAAAAAAACTTTCCTTGCCCCATTCAGACCATAAGTAACCATTTCTCTCTTTAAACCATAACTTTTATTTTATTTGCCGAAAGGTTAGGATGCCAGCCATGGCATAAGGCAATTATGGCCAACCAATTTTACTCAGCCATTATTTGACACATTTAAAAAGTCAGCAGTCTGCCAATCTGCTTTATCAGTTAGCAGGTTGAGAAAATGAAGATGCAGCATCTGCTTCTTACTGCAGCACACAATTTATTTATTAAGCAATAATGATCTTCTGTCTATTATTTACAATATAATACTATATAATATTATATGTTTAAATTAGAACGACCACAGAAACTGCACCTCATCTGTGTTCTTTGTTTAAATCAGGTCTCTCTTGTAAATGAGTCCTCGAGGCTCAATGAGACTAACCTGTATAAATAAAGGTTGAATGAATATACAAGATTTTCTAAGACTTGTTAAATATACATTTATCTAAAGTGAGCAATTATTGTTACATTTTGTTGCAAAAAAACTACACATTTATCAATAACTGTCCAAAGATATTGTGTTGTGTATCAGCCATCAGCTGCCCTGATTCCTAAAGATCTGCATCCAACATAAAAAAAAGTCTCATATTGATCGACCTCTACTTATATTCTTCAGGTTTAACAAGTTTAAACATGAAGAAAGTTTGTTTTCAGATCAACATATGGATTTTTAAGACAGTGTAAAATAATACTATAGTAAACTTGTGGCTTCTTTCAGATTTTATAGCTTTCCTCATCTGATATATTGTTCAATCTTGTGCAAATGTCCATACTCTGTAAGTGTCGAGGGATTTCTGAATGAATTATTGTGACAAACATATCTCACGTGTGAATGTTTTTTTTTTTTATTGTCCATGAGTTGATATCCAATGGACACAAAATAAATTGTGTAATAGCTCATATGAACCCCTGACTGTCGACCTTTGACCTTTCAGATCACCCTCACAACGATCGGTTATGGTGATAAAACCCCACAGACGTGGACGGGGAGGTTGTTATCAGCCTGTTTCGCTCTGCTTGGAATCTCCTTCTTTGCTTTGCCTGCTGTGAGTGAAACAGATTAATTGTTTTAAAAAATAATACAGAAAGACAATGCACCTATTTAATTTAGGGAGAAAGTTTTGTTTTCTTTGAATTTGATAGATTGTTTTTATTGTGCGGATGTGGGGTTTTGTACTCGCAGGGCATCCTGGGCTCAGGTTTTGCCCTGAAGGTGCAGGAGCAGCATCGCCAGAAGCACTTTGAAAAGAGAAGGAACCCAGCTGCCAGCTTGATCCAGGTAGAAACACACATGCAGCTCTCAAAACCACTTCTCTTCTACTGAATTATTTCTTCCCTTGCAGCTCTTGCAGGCATTTAAGATCCGGATGAATACAGAAAACTTTCTTTTTCCCCTCTACGTGCAAACTTCACTGCAGTTCCTGTGATTTTCATGTCTGTTTTGACTTTTGTCACCTTTCATTCTTTTGTTCCGTTTTAATAAAAGCATGAATGCACCCGCTCTGAGGAAACATTTAGGTGTTTCATAAATGTGACTGTGTGCGTGTGTGTGTGCGTGTGCGTGTGTACGTGGCTCGCCTTTCTCTGGGCTGTTCAGGAGTGCAGCTGACAATAAGTTATGGCGTGTGAGGAGCTCTGTCATGTCTCAGGTCCAAACGCAACACACACTGCTGGGATTTATTAGCCGTTTCCATGGCGATCAATCCCTGGGTAGACGCTCCTCCAGACTGTCAGTCATTGTAATAGACAAGACCAGCTGCATTGCTTTTTAATGAACAATAAATATCTGCTGTGGGGTGTCTGCATAACCACAAGTGTGCACCTGTGGGTCTGTGTGGGTTCCCATGTTTGTTGTCTGTATCTGCTGTCCGTTCTTCTGCATTATTAACTCTTTCTGCCTCACTTTCTGAAATGTTTCCCCTCACAGTGTGATCCAGAATCTAAACAGTTTAGCATTTTTTTTGCTATAATCTGTATCAAATATGGAAAATGTTTAAATCTGACAACTACACATCCTGCACTTTTATTAATCATGTCTGTGTCCTAAAACATAATGTTATGTTGAGACAAGACATGCTTTATGCTCTGTTCATAGTATCTCATAATATTCTGAGTCTGTTTAATGAAGGAATATAGTTTCCAACGTCCAACCGTGCAAATTCAGTAAAGTTTAAACCGTGTTTAATCAGAGAAAACATCAATAATTTTGGATTAACACCAAACAGCTGAAGTGAGCGTCCAGTCCTGCATGTGTTGTGTTTTGTTGTCTCTGTATCAAATCAGTGTCTGTGTTCAGCTCATAATGTCATGACATCTTTTCTCAACAGGTAAACTCAGAAGGAAACGTGGGAGCTGTTTTTTTTTTTGTTTGTGCCTGCCCCCCACGCCCCCCCTCCATGTTTCTCACCCCGTCCCCTGCTTTAAATAACTGTTGTTTATTAGTCTGCATGAATGGCAGTGAGTTACCACTGGTCTCGAGCCACATCAGCTGGTCAGTTCACAGAAACGCTAATACGTATTATTTATTAGTGTTTTGAGGAACGATGGTTCTTCAGATAGATTAGAAGTGGTCTTGATCAGAAAAAAAAAAAAAAAACTTTAACTGACCAGTCCTTGGCAGGTGGCCAGTGTTAATTTTCTACTTGTGGATAAAGAGTTTGGGCTTTCAAGTTGCAACACAGATAATGTAACCAGGCCTGGCGCCACTGAAGAGGTTTAATCATAAGACTGTGCCTTCTTCTAAACCGAACCCACCGATCAAACTCATAATCTGGTGAAACTGTTGGCTGAATATCTTAATATCATTCTGCAAAATTTAAAATCAAATCTTTCCGCTTATTGTAAGTGTTTTGTATTAATAAGATATTTATTTACGACACTTTCATTTGGCTTTATTTCACATTTAAAGAACCAACAGAGACAACAGAACTTGGAACATCATAGATCTTGTAGGATGTTCTATAAATATAAAAACTTTTAACTCGCTTCAACTTTATTCGGATGTTTCCACTTTAGATTCCCCCAAAGGCTCACTGTAAAGAAGTTTAATTTAAATCTAATTACTCACAGATAAGTCCAAATCAATACAGTTTATTTACAGTTGATTCAGTTAATGTATTTATTTATATATAATGTCCATTAGTAACAAATATAACTTGGGAGTGGAAATTATAATCTATATGATTTTACATTCAAATTAATTTTAAAAGAAATTAGGAGACCTAAACAAAGAGAAACAATAAACATTAAAGTGCTTATATTAAAATCCACATATTTATTGTTTTGTTTTTTTTCATTTAGCCTTTATTTAAACAGGTAGTCTCATTAAGCCACGAGAACTCATTTTCAAGAGAGACCTGTTTAGGGAGCAGATGGTGGTTAAGGGCCTTGCTCATGGGTCGAGGGTGGGGCGAATGAGGGTGGGGGCAGGTGTGGGTGCTTCACCTACCCCACCCACATTTTTGATGTTGTCTGTACCGGGGCTTGAACCAGCGATCTTCTGATCACAGACCCACCTTCTCTAACCTCTGCGCCACCACTCCCTCTTCCAACTCACACTATCTGAGGCCAAGTCTTCATTAAAATATCCCTGTAAATATTTAAATATGTTGAATTACAGCTTCTGTAAGTACCATGAAAGCAAGTGATGCTAGAATGAAAACAGAACATCGAAATGTCATCTGTTCTCTTTGCCATGCGAAATAAAATAAAAAAAAATGACATATCCAACTCAGTTCAGTTTATTTACATAGCGCCAAGTCACAACAGAAGTCATCTCAGGGCACTGAACAGAAACGTTCATATATATATATGTATATATATATATATATATATATATATAAAGTAAGTAAACACTATTTATCTGAGGAACAGACTGCTTTGAATTTAACTCCATCAGACTCTCATCTTGAGTAAGCATGAAGGCGACAGTGGAAAGGAAAAACTCCCTCATGAGGAAGAAACCTTTAGCAGCCAGGCTCAGGACAACAGCCATCTGCTTAACCAGCTGGGTTTGGTAGGAACAGATACACAATGGCAGGTCAAGAATAACATGTTAAGATAGAAATAACATCAAATTAAAACTATTCAATTTTAACAATTCATTTAAGGAAATGAGGTCAGTTTGTCCTCTAGTAGTCTAAGCCTGTAGCAGCATAACAAGCCGACCCTAACTATAGGATTTATCAAAAAGGAAAGTCTTAAGCCCAGTCTTAAAACTGGACAATGTGTCAGACAGAAACTGGAAGTTGGTTCCACAAGAGAGGAGCCTGATAACTGAAAGATCTTCCTCCCAATCTGCTTTTGGAAACTCTAGGAACCACAAGTAAACCTGCAGTCTGAGAGTGAAGTGCTCTGTTAGGAAAATGTGGAACAATAAGATCTGTAATATAAGATGGAGCTAGGTTGTTGAGAGCTTTGTAGGTTAGAAGTAAGATTTTGAATTCATTTCTGGATTTGACAGGGAGCCAATGGAGAGAAGCTAAAACTGGAGAGATATGATCGCTCCCACTAACTCCAGTTAAGACTCTGGCAGCAGCATTTTGGATCAACTGAAGATATTTTAAGGAAGTATTTGGACACCCAGATAACAAACCATTGCAATAGTCCAGTCTAGACGTGACAAATGTATGAACCAGTTTTTCTGCATCATTTTTAGATAAGATGTTTCTAATTTTAGTGATATTAGGCAGGTGGAAGAAAGTGGTTCTATGTGGGGGATAAATGACATGTCCTGATAGAAAATAACACCAAGATTTTTAACATTAGAGCTAGAGGCCAGATTAATGCCGTCTAAGGAGGGCAAAATACTGAAAATTTATTCCTAAGGTGCTCAGGTCCAAAAGCCAAAACCTCTGTTGTGTCTGTGTTCAAAAGCAGAAAATTTAGTGTCATCCAGGTTTTTATGTCTTTAAGACATGCTTGTAGTCTAAGTAACTGATTGGATTCATTGGGTTTAATGGACAAATAAAACTGTGTATCATCAGCATATGAAAATTTAAAAACCCAAAATGAATATTGAGAACTTCTGATTTGGTGCCAGCAGGTTATATGATCCCTGTTAATGTCAGATGTTTACATAAAACAGCCTCATTTCCTCACCATGTTTGTGCATTCACTCTTCTTTGTGGTGTTTTTTGTGTGTTTGTGTGTATCATCTCTGCTCCCTCCCCCACCCAGGCAGCTTGGCGTCTGTACTCCACTGATGGCGCTCGTCCCTACCTCAGAGCCACTTGGCATCACTACCAAAGTGCTCTCCCCCCCCTCAGGCATGTATCCCCCCCCACCCCACCACCATCACCACCCCACATCCCCCCAACAACCCCCAAACAGCACTGCATCCACACTACCCCAAGGAACTAATCAAGTTGTTCTGATTTTTTCTTCTCCTCACCATCTTTCTCACATCCTACCCAACTTAAACAACCCCCACAATCCGCCCCTTGTTTTTGTTTTTCCTACATTTCATTAATTGTTCCTTTATCATCGTTTATCCTGTCGACTTTGCACGTAGTGTGTCTGGCGTAGTTATGCTGCTGATGAGAACTCAGTTTCCATTGCAACCTGGAAGCCTCATTTAAAGGCGTTGCATACCTGCAGCCCCGCCAAGTAGGTAACAACTTACAGACTCACAAACATGGCTGCCGCTGCTCAGCCCTGTGCATCATCGCCTTCTCCTTCGCTGTTTGTCCTTACCCATGTTTCTGCTCCTGACTGATTATTATGATGCGCTGTAACCATTTTTCTACTTTCATTAACGTTTTTCTCCTCATGCAGCTGTGTTTTGCTTGGCGTGTAATAATCTTTAACACACTTTTAACATTATATTAGGTTCATATGGTCCCTTTTGATTTGCCTGCTGTAGTATCTGCAGTCAGGTGTTAAATATCTTGACGAATGGTGCACCTTAAGTTGTCATAGTTTAGAGTTAGTCACTGCTCCAAAACTCCATGATAATCTAAGAAAAATGTGTCTATATTTTGATGTATGAACTGTATAAGAAGTATAAAGAGAATCAAGATTAAATGAATTGCTCTAGTTGCTGGCAGTGTCTCGTTAGGGTCACCATGGTAACCACAAACCGGTGTTTGTCACTCCCTAGTAGCTTATTAGAAGGGTCAAACAGACACATTCTGTTTAAAATGTCTCAAATAAATTGCCATTCTGCAAAAACTTTATGATGTAAAGTATTTCTGAAGTTCTTGAGTCCTGAGCAGCAGAAGACTGTGATAGCCACACACGTTGGTTTTCATGTTGTTACTGTTTTATGTAGGACATATGACATTAGTTACAAAGACCATTTATTTCCAGTTAAGAAGATTAAAGGATAAGAAATTGAAAAATAAAAATACATTAAAATATAATTGAAATTTTGTAACTCGGGTGTGCACTTTCTGTATATGGGATGAGTTGAAAAAACAAAACGCAAGTGAAACAAGGCTAAAATCCCTATGTTTTAATGTATAACGTAAAAATTGGTTTAAAAAAATAGTTAGCAAAATTTTTAACAGTTAAAACAGGTTAAAAGTTACATTGTACGACATCAACTCTCAATTGAACATCCCACGGAAATATCTTAAAAAATGATAAAGCCTAAACTGTGATTGTGGACAAATCATTACATTTATCAAATATTAGTTCAGAACAACTTTCTGTGACCAAATTAAACTTTGAATTATCTTTCTATTCATTGTGTAAATATTTGTTTTGCTCACCCATTTAGCTGAAATCTTATTGTTGTGTCTAAGAAAGCTTCTCAAAGTTTTTTTGTGACTATTGTCTACAAAATACAACATCCAAATCATATCTTCATTTTTTGAGTAGTAAAGGCATTTTGCTGTTGCTTTATCAAAACTACAGGGTAGGAAAACAGACAAAACTATATTATATATATATATAAATAACAAGGGTGCTTCAGTGCATTTGCACTTGCACTTTTATTTAATATCTAACATGTTGTAGAGTCCTTTGAACAACTTTAGTTTGGAGAAATATAACATAATTTGGCTCAGATTGACACTAACATTTAATCAGAGTGTGGCTAAGACCAGATATTTAATGCTGTCTGAAAATAAATTCACAACAAATTCAGAGTGGTCTGTGAAAACCCTTTTATAAACCTTTAATATGTCTCATTTGTTTATTACATGGAACTCTTTTTTTTTTTTTTTAAACCACAAATAATGGCAATAGCAACTAGCTGTAGCATGTCTGGTGCTATTTGTATCAATTCCATCAGGAATATAACAGGCCTCGTTTGTAAATGAGTCCTCGTGACTCAATGAGACTAAACTGTAGAAATAAAGGTTGAATGAATATCAATATATTTGTATATATTTGTATATTTGTAAATAAGTAATGTGAACATGAGGCAATTTTTCATTGTAATAATAAAAAAAAAATCATTAAATAATTCACCAATACATTTCAGTTGCGGTAGTTTAATGCTTCATGTGCATTTGTTTTGTCCAGAAGTGACGACTACTTTCTCAGATAGGGGCTCACGCTATACTCAGAACTAATGCTTAACCTGACTGTGCATGGCCGTGACTTGCATGTGCTTGAAAAGAAAACGCTGGCTAACTGTAACTCAAGTTCTCTTGGCTTGATGGCTTCCATATCCATCAGTGGAAACGTCTTTGTAGTGCTGTTTTAATTAGCTAGAAGACTGATTCCTCTCCCTTTGTCTCCTCCTTTGTATTCCACTAACCACTGAAGGAAAGAGCAGGGAGAGACTACATACAGGTTTGTATGACCCTCAGCTCATACGTCTAAATACTACAAATGCAGTAACACATGCACACACACACATTAAACATATGATTGTTGATGGCATGTGATAACATTTCAGCTAGTTTCAAGTCATCTTCTGGGTTGTTCAGTCAGTTTTTTTTTTATTTAGCTCATGCATTACACATTTAGAAAACTATAGTGTGACTGATTTTTCTTTATTGGTTTGGATGTGTATCACTGAAAGTCATTTATAGATTGCAGTTCCTGTGATTATGCTGGGACACACCTGATGTATTTGAACTTGTTGGTTTATTGATTGACTGATGTTGTCAATCATTGGGTTATTTTTAGTTTTTGTTGTTAAAACCTTTTCTAGTAAAGGGAAAACAGGACTGATTTCAAGCGTTGGTAACAAAAATATAGCTTTGAAAAAGCAAGAGAAGTTACACCATGACGCTTGTAATGCAGTGATCATTGGTTCCTTCATTAGTGTAACTGTAGGCCATTAATCATTACAAAATATGAATGGTCATTTTAGGCAAAGACACACTTTGAGTCGTCCATAAATGTTTTTTCTTCAAAATTTTAAACACAAGTCCTGCAGCTAAAAACCAGTTCAATGAAACTGAGACTTCAGGATCAAACACACGTACTGCTAATCTGTCCAGCTGCAGAGTATTATATTCCCTAATTTTCACCAGTCCAGTGGGTGTACGCTAGCAATAAAGCTGAGCTCACCTGTGGTCATAGTTTCCACTTTATAACCCTTTCAAAATAAACTAGAATAGCAGAAATGGATCCTGGGGCACAAGTTGTTTTCTTGTTTTTGTTGTATTGTGTAAAAAACAAGTACTATGACTAGAAAAGTACCGTTATGAAACAACCTGGTGTGTCGCGGTGCCACTCTTAAAAACGTTACAATAAAAAAGGAGAAGAAAAGCTGCAACATTCACGTTAAATCTTCAATATAGCACATTTGAATTATTTTAGATATAAACCACTGCCTAACACCAAGATTTACAGTTTAGGACTTTATTTTGTTTTTGTACTGGAAAAAAGTACTGGTACGTTCATTCATTTGCTCCATTGCCATGAACTGAACTAAACAGAGTAAAAATACAATTTAAAAATAAAAAAAATATAAAAAAACAGGGACATGTTTTTACTTCAGTCACACATAGATTAAGTAAGACGAGGGACTTTACAGTGACATTTAGTGAAGAAACAACGTGTTTCATCTCGTTTTTCTCTTTTAAATCTTTTATTCTTTCTCCTTTCCTCTCGCTTCACTTGACTCCTGGGCAGAAAAGTGTTAATGGTTGTCTTTTCTCTTGTGTGTGCGTGCTGGGGGAGGGGGATATATTCACACTCGCATGCCTTCAAAGACAGACGTCTGTACCACGTCTGTACCATTACACACTTTTTCCATTGAGATGGTGTTCGTATAACTCATCAAATGTGCAGCTTAGGAGACTGAAGTTGAAAAAAGACAGAGGGGGTGGGAGAGGAGAGAAAAGCGAGGGTAGATGGGGGTAAATGACAGAAGGAGGTTTGTGAGTTTAATTATTCTAGTGTAGTTTTTACAGTTCAGCGCTGCTTTGTCGACATTTGGGGTCGTCGTGTTGAGCCAGTAGCTTCTGAGGCAACACAACCACACATACGTTTAAAAAAAGGATTTGTTTGCTCTCTCAGCCAAACACACAAACAAATGTGCTTCTCATTATTGAAGTCAATGGTATTTAATTGGGCTTTGTTGCTTCAACAACAACTCGTATTCCCCAGAAATGCTCTTGTCTAAAAGGCTCATTTCATCGTGTTTTCTTTTCTTAGAAACTTCTCTTGCAGCCAAGTCCAATTTGCACTTGTTAAATCATAATTACGCAGACTTTTATGACACCGTTTCTTTTCTCCGTGTGTCTTTTTACCGAGGGAGCTCTGCGTTGTTAGTGGTTTCGCAGACCGTCGACTCTCGGCAGCTCGGCGGCGGTAGGTGCCGTTGTAAAAACGACTTGTGAATTTTGTTTAGGCAGACTTGTAAACACCAACAGTAGTAAACGTTTGGCGCACCACAAAGTGCTGCTGCGGATGTCGTGCTGAGTGTAAGTCAGCTGTGCGATGGCAGTGAAAAGCAACATGAAATTAGGGATAATGGGGTTAAATCCTTAGTTTATGGGTGCAGACAGGTGGGGTGTGTGGAGTTTGGTTGCACTTTGTGGTACAGTTGAAGTTGGATTCCACGTCTGTGATGTGGAAAACAGAGAAAAAAGAAGTGACTAATAAACACAATGAGCAGAAATTGCTTTAAAGTATTTGACGCTTTGGTTGCTTTCATTTGGAACGATATCACCAAATAAAATTTCTGATTAAAGTCCTGGTGTTTCTTGAAGTGATGCATTTCTCCTACAGCCTTTTGTGCCAAAGTTTTAAACTAAAATCATTTTCTGTTGAGAAATTACTAAAGTTGTAGCCATATTTTCAAACCTGGAAAATAAACGTTGTGCACATTCACATGTGTTATGACAAACATGTCACTCAGAGTATATGCCATGAATGATTCTTAGCTGCTTCAACACAAAATCTGAGCTCAGTATTTTTTAAAACGATCAAGATAGAGTCAATTTTGTGTTTGCTAATATCGATTTGCTGTGTCAACCATCTTAAAGTGGATTGGCTCAAAAGGTTAATCAGTTGTAGAGGAATAATCAGTGATTACTATCTGAGAGTTTCAGAAACTTCTCTTCAATGATTCATATTTTGCTAACAAACAAACAGGGTCAACTCCAACAGTTAGCGATGCAGTTTCAAGTAAATATCTTGAGTAATGATTAGCACCTATTATGTGTTGTGTATGCCTTTCAGCTAGTACCAGACCACATTTTAGCTCTATTTCTATAGAACTGACTGGAATATACTTATTTGTATGTTATCTAAGGTGAGTTGGCTGGGGCAGCCATCTTGAATTGGGTTGAATATAAAAAATAACCAGTTGTTAGATGATAGAGCCTTCTTAGTTTACACATATCCCAGGAGAAATATGATAAGTCGGCTTGCTTCAAGGCCAAACGGGAGAGTCAGACTCAGATGAGCCACAGTTGTTGATTTTTTTCATTGAAACTGTTATTTCTCATCAGCCTTGAGCTCTGCTGCTACTTTCAAACCAAAATGGCCAGATTTGTGGGCATTCCACTGGTCTGTGCGTATTAGCTGCCTCCAAGGTCATGCCCAACATGCTGGCGAGTTCCAGAAGCCATGAGTGGCTTGCGATGCTCACAAATTGCTTTCATCTTATGGTTTAGCTCGTAAATCAGCTGATTTTGGGTGCTCAAAGCACAAACCAAACCTTCACACAGGGTCGGCAGCTTTACCATGGCCAAAACTGCTGCTGCTGTCTTCTTTAATAGCCGATAACATAGGTATCCGCCAGTGCCAAAAAGTAGAAACCCTGATATCAAGATTCAAATGATATAAACATCTTTGACGTCCTCCTGAGACAATACGGAAAGGCGCATCTGCTTCCAAACCCCCCGCAGATCCATGACGTACCCTGTCGTGTGTGTCTCAGCGGGGCTTGAGGTTTCTCCAGGACCCTGTCGCTTTGTTGAAAAGATTTTATCGATTACGTTGAAAGTCCAGCTGACCAGATCCATGACAGTAGTTTACGATTCAGAAGATGTGTAAATAGAAGCTCCGATACACAAGACAAAGAGCAAAAAATGCAGGAGGAGGACGGGAGAGGGCAGAAAAGCATCCGTCTTGCACGAGAGCGAGTGAGGAAAAGGAATTGGTGATCAGTCTCAGCTACTACCACATCAAATTTTAAATAAACATCAGAAAAGTTATATTGAGATTTAGATATTTTGTGGGTTTTTTATTTTACGTGGCAACCATATTGACCCAGGTTGAATACCAAAGTTAACCAGTTTATGGGCACATTCAATAATTGCTGGCAGACATAGATGTAGATGTAGAGGTGATGTTTCTTAAGAATTGACAGAAACCTGAGCTCAGGTGGGTCCTTCTTCAATCATGTTTACCCATTTCTTTTTGAATTGTGTCCCCTGCCCTCCTCAGAGTGGTGATGGTCTATCAGTGTTGACAGCAAAGATTTTATCCATCCACCACTCAGCTCCTCTTCACCTACTCTGTTCTTCTCTCTTCCCTTTTCTACTCCCCTCTTTCTTTAGTAAGGCTCAAAATAATGGGAGTCTCTTCAGAAAGTATTCTTGGAAATATAGGAGGTACGTGCAGCAGCACCCTCCCTGCCCTGGCATCCGTCCATATTGGAAGGACTCACTAATAGCATGGAGAAAAAACAAAAAGAGAATCGACCCCCCAATCCCCCTTTCAGTGATGCCAATCCTGTGAAGGATTTCATTTGAGACTGTAGCTGCCTGCTGCCTGTTGAATGCTGTTCAAACCTTGTTTCTTTGTTACAAGTTAAAGGGGAATTCAATCCAAACTGAGTGTAAAATTGTTTTGAAATGAATTATTAACTTTTGAGATCAGATTTGACATCCTAATCTCCTTTAATTTGGGAAAAAAGATTCCTTAGCAAGGCACTTTGCCTTGTATACAGTATAAACAATAAGCTTGTTTTCTCTGGGAAACATTTAGAGTAAAATTTTTAAATATAAAATTTTAATTCCCCTTTAGTGTATACATATATATTTTTTTGTATTGTTTATTCCTTTTTTTGTTTACTCTTGTAAATATATTTTACATTTCCATGCTGTTTTTGACCCTGTGCATCAGAAGCATCTTGTACCTGTTGAGCGTTTGTACCGCTAGGGGAATTATTCATAAAGTATCTCAACTTTTCAAAAATAGTCAACATTTTGGGGATTAGCTTGAGAAAATGAAATCAAAATTGCTTCTTGTTGCTGGACTATATCTGAGCCTCTTATCTAGTAACACAATTGTTCCTAAAGTTGAGGTCAGGACCACATTATGGGTCCTGAAACATCATGCAGGAGTCCTTAGATGATCCCCAGATATCAAGTTAGAATGATAAATGAGTGTTTGCTATATTCCTACCATATTTATTACAGCTATTAAAAATAGAAGTCATCAATTATTAAAATGATGGCTGTTTAGACATGTCTTTTACCCTTGTTTAATAGGGTTATTAGTGATAATTGTATATACTATGGGACCTTGTCATTATTATTTTGTGGGTCAGTAGCTAAAGTTTGGGAACCACTGCAACAACATGTAATATTTGTAAACTTTAAGATGCATTTTAAAATCTTCTTCTTCTCCTTTCGGCTTTTCCATCTTCAGGGGTCTCCACAGTCATCCTCCACCATTCCAATCTGTCCTCTGCATCTTCTGTCCTCACTCCAACTACCTCCGTGTCCTCTCTAACTGCATCCATATATCTCCTCTTTGGACTTTCTCTTTGTCTTTTTCCTGGCAGCTGCATTTCTAACATCCTTCTACAAATATACCCACTGTCCCTCCTCTGGACATGTCCAAACCATCTCAGTCTTGCCTCTTTAACTTTATCTCCTAGTTGTTCAACCTGTGCTGTACCTCTGATGATCTCATTCCTAATCTTATTCATCCTTGTCACACCTAAGGAGAACCTCAACATCTTCATTTCTGCCAATTCCAGTTCTTTCTCCTGTCTTTTTTTCAATGCCACTGTCTCCAGACCATATAACTTAGCTGGTCTCACCACTGTCTTATAAACTTTTTCTTTGACCTTTGCTGACACCCTTTTGTCACAAATCAATCCTGAAACTTTTCTCTATTTACTCCATCCTGCCTGGACTATCTTTTTCACTTCTTTACCACACTCTCCATTTTCCTGGACAGTGGACCCCAAGTACTTGAAGTCCTCCACCTTTGTGACCTCTGCTCCTTGTATCCTCACTGTTCCACCGGCCTCCCTCTCATTCATACACATGTACTCTGTCTGTCTACAGCTGACTTTCATACTTCTTCTTTCAAGTGAATACCTCCACCTCTCCCAAGTTCTCTTCCACTTGTTCCCTGTTCTCACCACATATCACAATGTCATCTGCAAACATCATAGTCCACGGGGATTCTTGTCTGACCTCATCTGATAGTCGGTCCATCACCAGAGCAAACAAGAAGGGGATCAGAGCTGAACCTTGATGCAATCCCACCTCCACCTTGAAGCTATCTGTCACTCCTACAGCACATCTAATCACTGTCCTGCTGTCCTCATACATGTCCTGTACCAGTCTAACATACGTTTCTGCCGCTCCAGATTTCCTCATGCCCTACCACACCTCCTCTCTTGGCACTCTGTCATATGCTTTTTCTAAATCCACAAAGACACAATGGAGTTCTTTCTGACTCTCTCTACTTCTCCATCAGCATTCTCAAAGCAGAGATGGCATATGTGGTGCTCTTTCTTGGCATGAAACCATACTGATGCTCACAAATAGTCACCTCCCATCTAAGTCTAGCTTCCACAACTGTCTCCCAGATCTTCATGTGGTTCATCAACTTAATTCCCCTGTAGTTGCTACAATTTTGTACATCATCCTTGTTCGTATAAATGGGCACCAGCACACTTCTTTTCCATTCCTCAGGCCTTTTCTCACCCTCATATTTGCCATTGAATATTTGGGTCAAAAACCTCTCTGCCATCTCTCCAAGACATTTCCAAACCTCCACTAGTATGTCATCAGGTCCTACTGACTTCCCCTTCTTCATTCTTTTCAGAGCTTTCCGGAATTCACTCTCACTAATCTTTCCCACTTCCTGGTCCACAGTTTCTATGACCTCTACTCTTCTTTCTCTTTCATTCCCTTCATTCATTAGCTCCTTAAAGTACTCCTTCCATCTTCCCGTCACACTCTCCTCACTTGTTAGAACATTACCATTCCTATTTTTAACAAGTCTAATCTGCTGCACATTCTTTCCAGCCTGATTGCTCTGCCTTGCCAATTGGTACAAGTCCTTTTCGCCCTCTTTAGTGTCCAGTCTCCCATCCACCTCATCATACACATTCTGCTTTGCCTTAGCTACCTCCCTCTTTGCTCTGCATCCAATCTCCTTCTATTCCTGTTTCCTCTCTTCAGTCCTCTCACTGTCATATTTCTTCTTTGAACAACGTCCTGCACTTCACTATTCCACCACCAGGTTTCATTATCATCCATTCTCTGTCCAGAAGACACACCAAGTACCTTCCTACCTGTCTCTATAATTACAATTGCTGTAAACCCAGTCATTTGGAAGCTCTTTCTTGCCACCCAGAGCCTTTAACAGCTCCTCCCTGAATTTCTCATAAAATTCTTCCTTCTTCAGCTTCCACCATTTGGTCTTCTTCTCTGATTTTACTCTTTTTTTTCTCTTCTTAACAACAACAGTCATTCTACATACAACCATCCGATGTTGTCTGGCCACGCTCTCCCCTGCCACAAACTTACAGTCTCCAATCTCCCTCAGGTTTTCTACTCTACACAGAATGTAAAATGCCTTTTAAAGTACAGATGTATATTTGACTTTACTGCATGCTTCCTACATTACTGCTACCCTGCTCTTTTTATTAAGCCACCAGGGAGGGAAATATCTCATCAATCTGTTGAACAGTTTGTATTTATTTTAGTTTTGATTTAGTTTTAAACACCTGTGAGAATTCCTTCTTGAACACTGGTGAGCATGCGTTGTAAGAATGGTTTTGGGGCAGTAAGTAGACCACAGCTATGGATTTGCAACAATCATTAATTACAATCAGAGATCTTGTTTCTACCGGGCAGCACGGTGGCGCAACTGGTAGAGCTGCTGCCTCTCAGCGAGAAGGTCCTTGGTTCAAACCCCAGTCCAGGGGCCTTTCTGGGTGGAGTTTGCATGTTCTCTCCGTGCATGCGTGGGTTTTCTCCGGGTACTCCGGTTTCCTCCCACAGACCAAAAACATGCATGTTAGGCTGATTGGTAACTCTAAATTGTCCCTAGATGTGAATGGTTGTTTGTCTCGTTTGTCTCTATGTGGCCCTGTGATGGACTTGCGACCCGTCCAGGGTGTACCCCGCCCCTCGCACAGTGATTGCTGGACATGGGCACCAGCGACCCCCGTGACCCAAAATGGAATAAACGGGTAAAGATAATGGATGGATGGATGGATCTTGTTTCTTTTGCTCACAGAGAACTGAAACATTGACAATCAGGTGAGACAGTGATTTGAAAAAGTAGTAAATTTAGGGCATTTAAGTGTGTTTGAATCCTGCATTCTTCGTTTGTGCTGCATTGCATGCTGGTCTTTGTGCTGGTTTGGAGTCATCTACGGCAATGAAACAGTTTTTTTTTTATTTTTCATTTGCACAAACATCTGACCCTGCGGTGGAAAAACTCTTTTTTCTTTTTTTAATCTTAAAAGGTTGATATTATGAACCTTTTTTATAATAATAGAGTAACATACCCCAAGACAAAAATAAGAAGATTAAAGATTAAGAATGAGGCTGTAGCAGTAACACCGTGAGTTAGAAGCAAAGCAGAAAGAGTGCATAATACATATTTGCCAATTTTTTTGTAAAGCATGCCAAGGTTCCAAGATTTAAAGTAGTTAGGGGTATGAAATTAAATTGTGCAGTGGAAAACATCATGGTGAGGTTTTAACAAGCTTCGTTTTAATACTGGGATCATTTGTTTAGTCTTTAAATGAGTGTGGTGATGATGTGTTAATGTTCTCATGAGTCTCATATCACCTTTAAAAATCTCATTAGGTCTGGTCTGAAAGATGAATGCACCATCAGCTGTTCAGGTGTGGTTTCTCTCTGACGGCTTGTTTTGGTGGCGTGACGGGCGGTCCCACTTAGTGTTCTGTTCATGTCAGTTAGATAGATGTGATTCGGTCTAAAGGAAAAGACAAGAACATCAGCCTTTGTCTGCACTCTGAGCTCTTGAGGGAAAATGCTTGTTGGCAGCATCCCTTTTCTTTCCTTTTTTTCTTGTGTCCCGCTGAACCCCACCCTGAAGAAAACACTACTTCTCTGTCCCTTTATCTTTAACTCAGTTTCTCCATCACTCCCCACCCTCTCTCCCCATCTATTTTTTTTTTGTCTTCTACCACATCAGTCAGAAGTTGAGCTTTAAGGAGCGGGTCCGGATGGCGAGTCCTCGAGGTCAGAGCATGAAGAGCAGGCAGACGTCCATCAACGACCGCCAGCGCTGTTCCCCTGGCAACGAGGTGGTGGGCAGCAGCGAGCTGATAAGTGGGAGCCCCGCCAAAGTACAGAAGAGCTGGAGCTTCAACGACCGGACCCGGTTTAGGCCATCGCTGAGGCTGAAGAGTCAAACTCGCACCGCTGCTCCAGATGGTGAGCCTGAACTCGAACATCAGTCAAGATCTCTGTTTCCAGACTCACCATTTGTTGGTTTATGAAACCAAAGCTTGGGAAGATGTTGCAATAAGACAGTAAATTGAGAGTTAATGTGTCAAATGTAAAAACAAACCAAACAATTGTAAAAAATATTTTAAAACTTGAGTCTGTACACCAGACGGTTTAAGTCCCACCTACCCACCCACTCCCCAACCATCATGGAATAAATAATTACAGCTAAATCCAAAATAGTTCAATCTGGTCCTCTGGACATTCAAACCTACTTCACATATGGGGAGCAATATTATAGGCACAAGCATGGGAGTGCTATGGGGTCTCCAGTTTCTCCTATTGTTGCCAACCTGTACATGGAGGAGGTAGAAAAGAGAGCCTTGACGTCCTTTTCAGGGACACCAAGTCATTGGTTCAGGTATGTTGACGACACCTGGGTTAAAATTAAATCTCAAGAAATCCAACATTTTACTGACCACATCAACTCTGTGGATAAATACATCAAGTTCACACGAGAAGATGTAAAAAATGGCAGGTTGGCTTTCTTGGACTGTGAGGTCTCAGTCTCTGATAGAGGACTTTTGCAAACCGAGGTGTACTGCAAACCCACCCACACAGACCAGTATTTGCAGTTTGACTCCCATCACCCTTTGGAGCACAAGTTAGGAGTCATCAGGACTCTGTATCACAGAGCAGACAGCGTCCCCACTAACTCAGGAGCAAGGCAGAAGGAGAAATCCTACACAAAACAGGCTCTAGAGCAATGTGGATATCCTAACTGGGCCTTCCTGAAAGCAGAGAAGAAACCCAAACAGGACTCCAGTCAGCCATCAGGTGAAAAGGAGGAACCCAGACCCAGACCAGTGGTCATTCTGTATGTTGAGGGAGTATCAGAGAAACTGAGACGTTTATTTTCTAAACATAACGTCCCAGTGGCTTTTAAACCCCAAAATACATTACGGCAAAGACTGGTTCATCCCAAAGATCCAGTCCCCCGGCACAAACAGAGTAATGTTGTGTATGCTGTTCAGTGTCAGGAGGGCTGTGATCAGTCTTACATCTGGGAAACTAAATAGCCACTGGCCAAAAGGATGGCCCAGCACAGACGATCAACATCATCAGGCCAGGACTCTGCGGTCTACACTCATCTCCAGGCCAGCGGTCACTCTTTCAGGGATTAAGATGTTCACACCCTGGACAGAGAGGAACGATGGTTTGAGAGAGGAGTAAAGGAGGCCATCTTTGTGAAAATAAATCGTCCATCATTAAACAGGGGTGGAGGCCTCCGGGTTCAACTGTCCCCGTCTTACAATGCTGTGATTGCTAGTATCACTCAACCCCCTGTGAATAGTAAACAGCCATCAGTGTGCTAATGATCCATTGTTAGGCTGATGGTCCTTCTTGACCATGTGAGCAGCTGGTTTTGGTTGTCAGCAGCAAACTGGTTGATCCACCCTGAGAAGGTGCTATTTAAGAGACTGAGCTGAAAACAGCACCTCAGACTGAGGAAGTCTTTCGAATGAGAGACGAAACGTTTCTACATTTTTTTGTTTTGTCTTCTAGTGTCCAGAGGACCAGATTGAACTTTTTTGGATTTTTCTACCTGGATTATTGTGCATGCATCAGGAAATTACAGCTAAAATTCTTAGAAAAAATATCATTTAAACATACATGAGCATGGTCAAAACTATCAGCAAGAAACCTGAAAAAAACATTACATGTTTTTTTAATACCCTTTTTTTTTTTGGTGGGGGGGGGGGGGGGGGGGCAGAGGGGGCGAGACATAAAACCTGTACTAGAAGAGCTGGTCATGTTCTGGCTTCAATTTCAGGGTTCTGGGTCGATGTGTATATTTTGTTTACAGTCTATGGTTTAAATATCCCACTAAGTTTCTTTCTTTCTTTTTTTATTTTTTGTAAAAGCAGCTATTGAAGCAGAGTGAAGTCCAATACAACTTTTCCTCTGAAAGAGAATAATGAATATAAAACTGTATTGTTTTACATTGTGTCAAATTTTAGTATAAGATCAGCTAAACTTCCTTAATACCATCATGCGCTCTGTAATTTTGACCTTGTTCTCAGTATACTAAATGTTACACATGTGTTTAATTGTTTAACCCAGTGAAGTATATCTGCAGACCCAAGTCATATATTTTCATGAAACCTTTTTTTCTTTTTCAATCTCTCCTTTATTTTTTTCTCTTTGATAAAAAAAAACAAGTGTTTCTTGTGAACCAAGAGATTATATATGAAGAAGTGCCTGAGTGTTTATTCTTTACAACTCTCAGTAAATTCTACAAGAAAAAAAAATCAATGACCGCTTTACCTGGACTGCAGTTTTTTTTTCCTCATATCTTCCTTTTTCATTAGTTTGAGCTAATTCTTATAAAATTTTACATGCACTACATACTGACTAAGTGTTATTTTGACTTGTCTTTATTTTTCTGTCCATACTGTCCAATTTCATAATCAGTGAATGTATAAAGGTCATACACACTTTAGATTTTTTCTAATATTTTATAAAGTTGAAATGATAAGTCCCTCATTCCAAGTGTTTTTATTCAAGCAGGATATAAATTTTCACATCCTAAAGGCCAAAATTGTATCAGCCTAAAACATTCTTGAAATTTCCTGTAAAGATTCATGCAGAAAAATGAGTTTTACGAGTTTTAAGACTGGAAACAATTTTCCACGGGCCTGCGTTGATTGATGAAGCAACGTTCTGTCTCTTACAGTGGACGCAGGCATGACCACAGACGATTCCTTTGATGAGAAAGGCTGCCATTGTGACGTGACGGTGGAAGATCTTTCGGCGCCACTAAAGGCTGTCATCAGAGCCGTCAGGTATGCTGCTGGTATTACAAAAATTAATAAACAAATCAATAAAATCATTTTCAAATCATCCAAACTTTCAAGGACTTAGAAAAGTTGCAAAGTTTATCTTTCCAAAAAAATAGAATATCATGGAAAAGTTGTTTAATTTCCACCATTCAAAAAGTTAATCTTTAATAGATGATAGATTCAGGGCCCACAATTTACACTATTTTATGTATTTATATGTTTATTATGATTTCGGCTTCCAGCTCATGAAACCCACGCAAACAGGAATTCAAAAAAATAAAATACTGTGGAGAAACCAGCCCAAATTTTGCAGGGCATGAATGTTTTAAACTGAGTGTGACACACTAATCATCTACTAAACTCAAAGCACCTGCACAGGTTTCTCCAGGTGTCGTTAAATTGCTTCAGTTTTGTTCAATTGTCTCAGTTCAATTCAATATGGGGAAGACTGCAGACATAACAACTGGCCAGAAGACCATCATTGATACCCTCCATAGGATGGGTAAGCCACAAAAGTTCATAGCTAAGGAGGCTGGCTGTTCACAGAGTGCTGTGTCCAAGCATATCAATGGAAAGTCTAGTGGAAGGGCAAAATGTGGCAGGATAAGATGCACCAGCAAAAGAGATGACTGTGGACTTCAGCAGATTATCAAACAGAGAAGATTCCAGAATCTGGCAGAGATCCAGAAACAGTGGAATGAGGCGGGACTCATAGCTCCAAAAACCACCACATTCAAGTGCATCCGGGAGATGGGCTACAACTGTCGGGTTCCTTGGGTCAAGCCACTTCTGAACCTGAGCCAACTCTTTTCCGATGAAAGTAAAGTGTGCCTTTCATTCAGAAATCAAGGTCCCAAGTGTTTGGAGGAAGAAGTGTGAGGAACAGAGCCCATACTGCTTGAGGTCCAGTGTGAAATATCCACAGTCAGTCATGTCAGTGCAGGTGTTGGTAAACTCTGCTTTCTTAAACCCAAGGTCACCACAACAGTCTACCAGAATGTTTTAGAGGACTTCATGATTCCTTCTGCTGAGGATCTGTATGGAGATACAGATTTCATCTTCCAGCAGGACCTGGCCTCTGACCGTGCTGCCAGAAGCACCAAAACCTGGTTTGATGCCCATGCCACAGTGCTTGACTGGCCAGCCAACTCGCCGGACCTAAACCCCATTAAGAATCTTTGAGGTATTCTCAAGAGGAAAATGAGGAGCACCAGACCCAACAACAAAGAAGAGCTGACTGCAAGCATAAAGGAAATCTGGGCTTCCATAACTCCCATATATATACAAATACCTGACACATATCCTGAGTTCACATCCTTCAGCTGGTATATGCCAAAAATTCAGATAACGACACTTTGTTGGTATTGAAACACAAATTTATGTTCATCAATGTATATATGTATATACATATACATATATGTGTATATATATGTATATGTATGCATATATATATGTATATAGGGAAGCACGGTGGCGCAACTGGTAGAGCCGCTGCCTCTCAGCGAGAAGGTTGCCGGTTCAAATCCCGGTCCGGGGGCCTTCCTGGGTGGAGTTTGCATGTTCTCTCCGTGCATGCGTGGGTTTTCTCCGGGTACTCCGATTTCCTCCCACAGACCAAAAACATGCATGTTAGGCTGATTGGTAACTCTGAATTGTCCCTAGGTGTGAGTGAGAGAGTGAATGGTTGTTTGTCTCTATGTGATGGACTTGCGACCTGTCCAGGGTGTACTCCGCCCCTCGCACTGTGATTGCTGGACATGGGCACCGGTGACCCCCGTGACCCAAAAGTGGAAGAAGCGGGTAAAAGCTAATGCATGGATGGATATATATTTGCAGTTCTTTGCATCTATTTTGAAATCATGACAAAACATGAGGAATAAAGATTCCTGATATTAATTCCACTGACCCCCTTTTCCTTTCTGATTGTTTTTGTATATCTGGCCTGTTGGAACTGAGATAAGGGCAGCTTATTGATTCATTAATTGTGATTTTTATTTTTTTACCTCAAGTTCATTGATATTTAGTGGCGATATTGACAGTTTATTGTTGGTTGTGAGAATTTTTTTGTTCGTAGTAATAGATCAGCTCAATATTTCAATATTTTTATATGTATCTATTTTCCAGTAAACAGTTCATTTACATTTTATACTAGATGAGTAAAACATGTTTATTTATGAGGGGTGAGTGGAGTCTCACCAGATTCTGCTCTTATCCAGACACAAGCTGGTGCCAAATGATTCTGTCACTTCATTGCTTCTTTTCATCTTCTTCAGTTTTACTGGGAAATAAAACATTTCAACTCCTCATTAGAGGAGTATTTCTATTTGGAAGGTTAAAGTTTTACAAAATAATTGACTTTTGGTATACAGTATTGGGTTTTTAATGTCAACAATTATTCAGACATACAGAACTGTGCAAAGGTTTTAAAACCATCTATATTTTGCTTCTTGGAGATGTTTTTTTTTTTGTTTGTTTTTTGGGGGGGGGGGGTATTCCTTTGTAGTGGTATTGAACAGCAATTCCCCGGACTTTGTAGAAGTATTTAAAAGTTTTCCAAGATTTAGACTGTTTTCATTTTTTAGTTTTTTTTTTTTTTTAGTTATTCTTTTAATTCAAGTTTTTCACCTGACAGTGCAGGGCATGTGAAGAGCACGATGTGCACGGCAAAGAAGAAGTGTCAGCCCTAAAGAAAACAAAAAAACCCAATATCTTCAAGTTTTGTATTTATGACTGAGAAAAAATAAATATCTAGCAAAGACCTGACACATATCCTGAGTTCACATCCTCCATCCATTATCTTTACCCGTTTGTTCCATTTTGGGTCACGGGGGTCGCTGGTGCCCATGTCCAGCAATCACTGTGCGAGGGGCGGGGTACACCCTGGACGGGTCGCAAGTCCATCGCAGGGCCACATAGAGACAAACGAGACAAACAACCATTCTCTCTCTCACTCACACCTAGGGACAATTTAGAGTTACCAACCAGCCTAACATGCATGTTTATGGTCTGTGGGAGGAAACCGGAGTACCCGGAGAAAACCCACGCATGCACGGAGAGAACATGCAAACTCCACCCAGAAAGGCCCCTGGACCGGGGTTTGAACCAGGGACCTGCTCGCTGAGAGGCAGCAGCTCTACCAGTTGCGCCAACGTGCTGCCGAGTTCACATCCTTCAGCTGCTATATGCTAAAAATTCAGATAATGACACTTTGTTGGTACTGAAACACAAATTTATGTTCATCAAACTGTTTTGTTTATTATTCTCATAAATTCAATAAAATCACACACAAAAAAATGAATTAAAAAACAATAAAGTCCATGCTCAATAATCCAGGTATACAATCCAACATTTTTCAGTCAGGTCATCTGGACAGTTTCTTTTTTTTGTGCTGAAACGTTTTGCCTTCCATCCAGAAGGCTTCATCAGTCAAGGAAACACACAACACAAAACTGATTTTCCCCCCAAACAGCTTACTCCAAAGTGGAACAAACCAGTTCTGTTGGTGCTAAGATGGTCTCTTTGGTACGCCCCTCCTCCATTGCCGGCCCTCTTCCTTGTTGACAGTCGTGTCAAACTGGTTGAAAACAACAAAGTCCATGCTCAATAATGCAAGTATACAATCCAACATTTTTCAGTCAGGTCATCTGGACAGTTTCTTTTTTTTTTTGGTGCTGAAACATTTCGCCTTAATTAAATAACATTAATAAATACACAAAACACCACTCAGTGGCAATGACATACAAAATAATTGCATAATACAGAGAATAAACAGGCTAAACTTGACGATTACAACAAAACTTATTTTTCTGTCTCAGTATTGTTTACAATTTCCTCTAAAAGTATTAACTACTTTAGCTCTACATCACAGTTAGACATTATTAGAATAAAACAAAAAAATTATTCGTATTTGTTTGTTTCTAGAGCACTAAGTGATAGCGGACATGCAGCTGGTTCCAGTTCAAGTTTTAAGCCCCGCCCCCTCCATGTAAACTAATGATTTAGGCCCTTTTTTGAAAGTGAAAAATATATTTCAGATATTCTCTTTTCTTGTGTTGAATTTGACTGATTATATGTGCTCAAACATTTCTTTTTCTATAACTTGTTTAGCTGTGATTAATGATTTTGTTCTTTAAAGAAAGGTCAAGTAACATCAGGATTGTTTAAATGCAAACTAAAGTCTCATATTTTCAGTGTGCAGACTGCGGTTCCAAAAACACAACATGGCAGCCCTTCAACCAGATCCGTTGGCTTTAATTTTGAACAACAAAATGAGGTGGAGATGCTTTGCCCATTTATATAAGTTAATGCTGGGGGGAGGGAGATTGTTTGTTTTTTATTTTATTTTATTCGGTTTTATTTTTTTAATATTCACATTAGAAAGTCCTTTTGAAATGTGTTTTTTTTTTTTTTTTTCTCATCAGAAATATTAATTTATGGATAGGTGGCGCAAACTGTAGACAACCTCCGTTTTGAATAATTTACAAAGTTTACAATAAAATAAATAATAATAATAATTAGAAGCAAAACAACAATTTAGGGAAGCCCCAAAAGTTTTTGCTCATTACTCCGTCAAAGAGAGCTAAAAATGGACAACCGGTGGCCAGCAGCTGAAGCAAGAGTACTTGGAGTACTCATGAGTACCATGAGTACTTTGCCACCAATGAGAAGACTGTTTACTATGACAGAAAGGTGTCAGCAAGTTTTTTTGTGCAACTGCAAAATGGTGAATGTGCTTGTCCTCATATCCCTGTACTAAATCAAAGATCAAAAACAAAATGTAGAATAATCTGGTAAATATTTACTTAAGATGGCTGTGAATCTGGCAGATAAATCAAACTAAAATGAAAGAAAAACAAGCTATTGGTTTGACACTTAACTACATTTAAGCATTTATCAAAGCTTTTCAGTCTTCTTCTCTTGAAGACATAGATACACAGACGTACACTCTGTACCATCTACCCTCTACTCAGCAGGTCCACTCCATGGGCAGCCAGAGCCTGGTGCTTTCCCAGGGTTTCAAGTTGAGGACTGGACGCCCCCCTCATCTGTCAGGACTGTTGTTATAGAGACTCGTCTGTCATGACTGTTTTCATTTACCCTGTGAACAAAATAGACAAGTAGAAATAAGCAGAAACCATCCGGGAGTCTAAAAGGACTAAGAACATAGATAACCTTACTTGTATCAATATTATTCACTAGCCGCATCTTAACATTACAAATAAAGGGGGTAGGGGGGTAGAAAATTACACTTGAGTCACTCATCTTGTTCGTCATTGCTCACATTAAATACTCCTGAAAGTATATGAGTTTTAATTTTTCTGTATGTGTAAACCCTAAAAAATGAACTTTCACGCTGGAGATTTTAAGGTTTCTGCTGCCATCTACTGGTCGATTTTAGCAATTACATGCATCTCTAGTTACAATCAGCCTTAAAGGTGTTTTTGTTTTTTGTGTTTTTCACACGTCCATATATTTGTGCAGGATTATGAAATTCCATGTGGCTAAGAAGAAGTTCAAGGAGACGTTACGCCCGTATGATGTGAAGGACGTCATCGAGCAGTACTCAGCAGGACACCTAGACATGCTCTGTCGCATTAAAAGCCTTCAAACCAGGTCAGGAAGTTCTAGAGACATGGAGCAGAAAGGCACATTATCACTGCACTTTATAATATCACTGACAAAATATTAGTGTGTCTGCTTTAAAGGTTTTTAATATTTATATATTTAAGGTTTTTTCGTAGCAAATTTGATTTTTTTTTGCACTCACTATAATTATTTAATGCTTTTAAATAAGAAATTCAGCAAGTGGGTTTTTGTGTATTGTAGAGCACTTAAAAAAATAAAATAAATAAATATAAGTATAT